ACCACCAACGCTTGAGAAGATCCATGTCGACGCTGCCGCGTTTGTAATGCGCGCGCGCCGACGAAGCACCGGTGGCAAGGATGGTTGCCAGCGACGTACCGACGGCAACATGCATCAATACGTCAGGATCGATCTTCAGCGCGGTGAACATGTAATAGAGCACCGGCACGATGACGATCCCGCCACCGACACCCAGCAATCCCGCGATGATCCCGGCAACGACCCCCGTGGCAACAAGTGAAAGCGCCAGCAGGCTGAGGGAGAAAAGGCTGAGATCGTCCAAACTGGTATCCTTTCGGGCGGGACTTGAGTTGCCGGGCGGCAAGTCAGATTGTGGTTTTAGGACAAGTTCACTCGTTTTTTCCAGCCGGACGACGCAACAAACTGTTTCGGCCTGCCAACAAACGCTTGAATTCACCCCTGATAGCGGACAGTGTTCGGCTGGTTCTGACAGGGAGGGGACATGTCCGAACACTGGCTCGCGCTTTACACGTTCGCACAATTCCGGACACGTGCGGATGATCCGGCAAATGATGATTTCTTCAGCAATGAAGCAGCCATCTGGGCCGCAATGGAGCGTGCAGATGGTTTCATTGCCCGCGCCGGATATGAGGACGAACCGGGCACGGACCTCTGGGGCGAGCAGGTCTTTCCGAAATACTGGGAAGACAATGGCGATGGCTGGGCGCCGTCCACAATCTCCTTGTGGCAGGACCTGGAAGCCGCCCTTGCTGCCGTTTATCGGGGCCCGCATGCCCAGATCCTGAGATTGGGTCATCTCTTCGTCAAGGAAGCCGTGGACTATCCGCCTTATGTGCTCTGGTGGGTTCCACAAGACCACCGGCCAGACTGGGAAGAAGCTGTCGAGCGTCATGAATTGCTCGGTGACAATGGACCGTCGGCAACGGCCTTCACCTTCAAGAACGCCTTCGATCCCAAGGGCAATCCGCTCGTTGTCGACGCGAAACGCTCCCGCGAGATTGCCGATCACAACCGCTTGCGCGCGAACCTGCCGAAGACGGTCCAATAGACGATTGTTCAAAAATCGATGACTAATCGTCAAGTTCTTACGTGATTGTAAAAGAATTCGAGCGAACCAATCTTTGGTCCAACAGTGCGCGGCTTTCCCGTGCCAACCTGGGAAAGGATTGATCGATGAACCAGTTACTACGTCCTTCGGAAACGCGCGGCGAAGCCGATTTCGGATGGCTGAAAAGCAAGCACAGCTTTTCTTTCGGCTCCTATTTCGACCCGAACCATATCGGCTTCGGCGCATTGCGGGTCATCAACGAAGACCGTGTCGCTCCTTCGGCCGGTTTTCCAACCCATCCGCACCAGAACATGGAGATCATCTCCTACATCGTCTCCGGCGGGCTGGAACACAAGGATTCGCTCGGAACCGGATCCGTCATCCGGCCTGGTGAACTGCAGCGCATGAGCGCTGGTAGCGGTGTCCGGCACAGCGAATACAACCATTCAGACACAGACCCGGTCCATTTCCTGCAGATATGGATCGTGCCGGAAGCAGACGGTCTGAAACCAAGCTACGAGCAGAAAGCATTTCCTGATGCCGAGCGCCGGGACACGCTCAAGCTGATTGGTTCAAGAAACGGTCGCGAAGGCTCGGTCGTCATCCATCAGGACGTCGATCTCTGGGCGTCGCTCCTGTCGGCTGAAAAGAGTGTCTCCTTCGACATCAAACCGGACCGCAAGGTCTGGCTGCAGATCGTCAAGGGCAAGCTGAGCGTTGATGGTCTTTCTCTGGCTGCAGGCGACGGGCTTGGTCTGCTTGATGCCGGCAAGATTGATCTGGTTGCCCAAGAAAATTGCGAATTCCTGCTATTCGATCTGGCCGCCTGACGTCCTGGGGAGGAGGCGCCTCCTCCCCATATCCGCCCGTCAGCTTCCCTGCCCTTCGGTCCCTTTTTCAAGAGAGCAACCGCGCAGTGCAAGGAGTGTTTCGGTCAGCTGGGCTCCGGCCTGTCTGAAAGCAGCGTCTGCGACTTCGGGACTTGCCGTCCCGAGCCCCTTTGCCAGCAGCTTCATCTCGTTGAGATTTCGGTTCAACGATTTGATTTCGCGCACAAGATCAGGTTTGTCGACCGATCCCGCATCATCCAGCTTGGCGGACAGGCCCGAGACCCTGTCATTGATGGATTGAAGATTTGACCTGACCTCGGCGGGCGACATGTCAATCCTGGACAGGGCGGCATCCGTCACCGTACCGGCGATCGATTCGGCTGCGTGGTCTACCCGGTTCACAACGACAATCGCGAGAATGCAGGCGACTATGACGAGAAGCGCCGTTGCGTTGATCAAGGCCAGCAACAATTGCCCCGGCAGGCGTTTCAAACGGGTCGCAAAGCCCGGTGCACCATGTGTCATTGACGGTTCCCCTCCAGGCACGGTTCAAATCAGAACCTCACCGTAGCATCGGAGATGTTACAAAACCTTCCGACTTACGGCGAAGGAATAACCATTTCGCAGCAGGAATGGACCGAACGACGGACTGCATGCCGATACTGCCAGCGTCTGCAGGTATCCTGCTCAGTGAGGCTCTCTCAGGCCCAAATTTGCAGACCAATGCAGCCAGGGTCACGAGAAAAGGGCTAAGTCTATACGGCTGCGATGCCTCTCGGCACACATCCTGCCGGTTGCGATCCAGACCTCAGGACTTTCTTTGCAGGTTTGTTTGACAGGCTGGAACCGGCATTCAAGGGCTGAACCGAATGCGCATGGTTCAACAGACCGAACAGACCCTTTGACGTTCATGCAGCCAGTTGTCACAATTTTAACGAGCACAACAACAAGAAACTAACTGGTGAGTGATATCCACACGCATCGGTTACAGTTTCGGATTGTCGTAATGAAAATTTCACATCTAGCCATTTCCCTCGTGTGTGTATTCGCGGCATCAAACCTTTTCATATTGGCCAACGAGAAATTTGAAGCCATTGCGGTTGACTTCGGATTTGGGGGAATACTGTTTATCCTGCTGACAGGTCTTTTTCTGATGGTCCTGGCAATTGTCATGTTTTTCAGGTCGTTCCGGAAGGCTTAGGGCGCCCTTGCGCCGCGCGCTCAAGCGCCATTGGCTACACCAGAACACGTTCGTTCAGCTGATCGAAACAAAATATGCGCGAGACGCGGATGCCCATTGGTCATTGTCGGGCAGGACCAGCGTTGTTCGGCCGGTGTCCGGAAACCTGGAAACGATTGGGAGGTGTTTGTTTGGAATGGTACAGACGAGTGGGTTCGAACCACCGACCTTCGGAGCCACAATCCGACGCTCTAACCAACTGAGCTACGTCTGCCTAGGCCTTGATATGGCGCGGACGATACTCGTCCGGGCCGCTCTTTGCAAGGGCGTCTTCTAACGCCGTTTTTTGGAACCGGCAAGCTAGTATTTTCGGAAAATACAAGCCTGTTGAAAAGAAAATGCCCGGGGCTGAACCCCGGGCATATCGGTCATTGCGGTTCCGCAAATGCGGTCCTGAAAGGTCAGTTGACGCTCAGACCCTTGAAGGATTTTTCCATTGCTTCCTTGACCGGAGCGGAAACATCGGTTCCGAGCTTGGTAGCCAGTTCCTGCATTTCCTTGGTCTGGCTGCTCAGAGCGTCGAATTGCTGACGTGCAAAAGTGGATTGCAGCTCGATTGCCTCGGCAACTGTCTTCACGGACAAGATGTCCTTGATGAAGTTGAAGGTCGCGTCTGCATTGGTTTTCGCTGCGTCGACAGCCCTGTGGTTGAATTCGACAACGCCCTGGCGGGAAGTTTCGAATGTGTCTTCCATCAGGTCGGTCGCGTCTTCAGCAGCGGTCTTTACCTTGGCATAAGTATCGCGCGCGCTTTCGATGCCTTGCTCGGTGGCTTCGCGAAACGCTGCCGGAACTTCCATTTTCGGAAGAGCGAAAGCTTCAAAGTCCGGGAAAGTCACACCAGCCGGTGCAGCCTTGGCCTTGGAAGTGCGTGCTTTGGAAGCCGTCTTGGCGGTAGTCGTGTTGGTCTCGGTCATGATCTCATCTCCTAGAGTTCGGATGCGATCATCGGTTCAAATTTCATTCTGCCGTTTTTTCAACTGGCAGACCCTGTCGTCATCCGCAGACCCTACATAGTGCATGTCTTGCTGCATTGCAACATTTTTTTGCACTGCACAATAAACTTCCGTAGGGGAGAGCTCGTGTTCCAGCCTTCGGGCGGCTTTCAATCAGCCTGGCGGATGCTTTTGCTGCCGGCAACCGTCCACCGGAATCGCGGTGTCCGTGCAGCCTTCGACACTGTATCCATACGCTCGTTCTGTGAACCTTCAATGCGCAGAACGAACGTGTCCTGCGCATTCTTGAGGTCGCGGGCTTCACTTTTTCTGTGCGGCCTTTGCAGCGTCCTGCACGGCCTTGGTCGCGGCATTGGAAAATTCACGGGACTGTTCACCCAGCGATTCCATTTGCCCGCGCAGATAACTCTGCTGCAGCTTCATCATGTCCTCAACATTGTCGGCCTTGACGAGTTCCTGCGCAAACTTGAAGGCCGCATTGACGTGCTCTTCAGCATAAGTCAGCGCCTTCTTGTTGACATCCGCCGCATTTGCCTGGACAGCGCTGGCGCTGTCCTCGACGTTGGAAACAGCCTTGTGGGTGGCGCCCATGAAATCGTCAAACGCCTTACGAGCCTGGTCTACGCTCTTTTCAGCAAAATCACGCATCTGCTCGGGGACTTCAAAACCGGTATTGTCAGTGCTCATGTCAGCGCTCCTCGGGTCGCGAGCGTGGAAAGCCCGCGTCTTCTAAGTTCTGTCCTTGCCAAAAATTCGTACCATGCAGATGGCGATCCGGCAAACAATTGGGGACAGATTAACCACGCCTTCACGTAAGTCCTTTAGCAAACTTGCTGTACGTGGACGACGCTAAGCTTTGCTAGTATTAACAGAGTGTTTACGAAAGCAGGCATCCCGGCACCGCACGTCCGCAACTCGGTATCGCCGACCATTGGAGCAACACGATGGACAATCAGACCCAATCATTCCTGGAACTGACTGCCATGAATGATCTGGTCCAACTTGCAGCCGACACAAGAGCGGCCTGGTTGTGGTCTGCCGATGGCGCAAAAATCCTGTGGTCGAATGCCGCCGGCGCGGCGTTTTTTTCCGCGCAATCCGTATCCGACCTCAAGGGTCTGTCTGCGCTGGAACGATCGCCTGCACGCCCTCACATTGCCCGTATCGCCGATTCCGGCCTGACCGACAGATTCAGCATCGACCGGTTGAGGTTCTACCGTGGTCTCCGGGTCATGCTTCTGACTTGCCAGTGCAAGCGGGTTGAACTGAACGGTGGCGATACCGCGGCGCTGATCGTTTGCAGCGACAAGGGACTTGAGATGACCAAGGACCCCATTCCCGCATTCGCCAGTCTTCTCAAATCCGACAAGTCGACGGTCTTCCTGATTTCCGGAGGAAATGACAAAGAGACATTCGGTGAACTTGACGGTGTTCCGGAAGACATTGCCCTGCCGCAGGATCAAAAGGTCCTGTTTGGCCCGCTCGACCTGAACGGCCGCTTTCACGACGGCGGCGTTCTGCAGATACCGGCCGGTCCGCGGATCGTTGTCTTGAGCAATGACCCGGTCAGCGAAGATGATACACCGGACACAACGGCTGGTGCCGTGGAACACCTGCCCGTTCCACAGTCTGTCTCGCTTGCATCCGATGCTGACCCCGCTGAGCGTCCGTTGGATGAAACGGGTCAGGATCCCGGCGACGACCATTCATCTGTAAACGATGCCGCTGGCGATAAAGATCACCACAATGATGATGGCGCAGGGCAGTCGTTGGAAAAGTCTTCCGTCCCGGCTGAGACCGACAGGGGCCCCGAATTGCCGGCCGAAGCATCAGAGCCGGTTACTGAATCCGATAACGACGCCGACGAGTTTGCAGATGATCAACCGGACGCGCATGACAACCATGTTCCCGGAGAAGTGGGCCATCAGACTATAGAACCTGCGGCCGCCGAATTCGATGAAACGGATGAAACTTTACGCGAAGAAGTCCCCACGGAAGCGGAGGGAACTCCAGAGGACGAAGCCGGCGACGAACAGGCTCCAACCACTTCCGATGTGTCAGACGAGCAGGTTGCTGTCCCTGAAGGCTTCGTGTTCCAGCCGCGCCGGCGGCCTGTGCGATTTGCCTGGAAGATGGATGTTGACCAGTGCTTCACGTTCCTGTCCGACGAATTCGCCGAAGTGCTGGGCCCGGATGCGACGAATATTGTCGGATCGTCCTGGGAAGAGGTGTCAGAAAAGTTTGGACTGGACCCGCGGGGCAACATTGCCCGGGCGCTGGACAGGCGCGACACCTGGAGCGGTAAAACCGTAGCATGGCCCGTGAGTGGTGCTGCACTCCGCGTACCGGTGGATATGGCCGCGCTTCCTGCTTTCGATCGTGACCGGAAGTTTGAGGGCTATCGTGGCTTCGGAGTCTGCAGGACATCTGACGCCGTTCAGGATCCCGACGGCTTCATCCCGTTGCCCGTTCCCGCCCCGGTGTTCGACGAGCCAGTGGACGAAGATGCCGACACTGGCGACATGCAGACACGCAGCCGGGAAACCGACGACGAACTCGAGACTGCGGCTGATGATGGCGATACGGCTCAGAGCGATGATGAAAATCAAGCGCAAATGAATGATGCGCTGGTAGCCGATGACGAAGACGAGTTGGCCGGAAGCGAAGAGGTAGAAGATCCGAATTTGGATATCCGCCTTGCAGACGCAGACACTATTGCCGATGACGATGCTGAAAGCCCAGCAGCTGATGGCGAAGACGACGGATCCGACGAAGTTGCCAGCCTAGACGCTTCGGGACCTGTCGCAGTCGATGACGTCGAAGCCTTGGAAGACCAGATAGACGCGCAATCGCCTGAAGTGAACGCGTCGGAAGAAGCCGAAAAAGAGGGTACGGCAGAGACATACGTCCCGGTCAATGAAAATCCTGAAGGCGGAGACCTGAAGGACCTGAAACCCGCGCAGCCGAATTCGCTCGGCGGCAGAACATTCCTGGGCGCCAGCGCAGCTGCGTTGGTTGGTTCTCTTGCAATGTTCAAAGGCAAGAAAGGGTCGAAGCCCCTGGATACCGCCCTTGACGGTGCGGTGCCGTCGCCAGAAGAAAAGAGGGCGGAAAACGAACATTCCGGCGGAGCGGTGGTGCCCGGGTCCGGAACGACGGAACCAGCGACACCTGACGCGCTCAACCTGTCCGAAGACCTGAAAAACGCTGCGGCGGCGCTGGATGCGGGCCTATCAGAAAACCTTTCCGGAGAAACTGACGGGGAGCAGAACGCAGATAACCCGTCAGACACATCTGAACTGGAAGCAGAGACTGCTCCTGTCGATCCGGAGGACGTATCGGATCAGCCGACGGCACAGGCGCAATCGGACGAAGCGGTTGAGGCTGATCAGGCTGAGAACGACGATGACGAGCCCGCTGCCAAGGCAGGCGAGATCAACTTCGACCTGTCGACCAGTGAGGAAACCACTGCGGACGAACAAGACTACAAGCACGAAAACGGCACCTATATTGCCGAGGTTGCCGTTCAAGACGGTGCGGAAGAAGAAGCTGAGAAGACAGAGGCGCACCCAGAAAATACTGCAGCTGAAGAGCCCGTCGGGATCGCAGGTCCGGCTGAACTGAAACCCTCCGAGATCGAGAGCGCTGTGAAAACGCTGGCGAAGTCTTACAAACCGGCTGAAAAACGGTCTCCGGATCTTTTTGACGAAGGGCCGGACGTGCACGCCGATACCGCGCCCGATGCCGAGGAAGCTGTTGCGGAGACTGTTGAGGAGACTATTGCGACCGAACCGAACACCGGCGACCAGGCAGATGACGTCTCCGAAACAGAAGATCTTGCAAGCGACGAGCCTTCCGAGAGCGTCAGCCTCGACGAAGAGACCGGTGACGACGCTTCTCCAAACAGCGAAGAAGAAGATCCGGCTGCCGAGGAAGAGCGCGAATTCTTTGAAGAGACCGCCGCATTCGAACAGGAAGACCGGGCGGCCGAAGCAGACGCATCTCCACCGGCGGAGCCGGAGAGAAAGAGCGGTGAGGTCATTCCACTCGCAACTGCCCGTCCGCGCGTCGTCCCCGTCGACACTTCATCACTGTCGCGTCCGGAGAGACAGGCATTCCGCAAGATAGCGGAAGCGCTCGGTGCTCGGCTGGAAGGCGACATGGAGGAATTTGAAGCTCCGGATCCGGAAGAAGAAGCGCTCGAGGACTTGCCGCCTGATGTTCCAGAGGCAGGTCCGATCGATCCAAGTCTGCTTGACCGGTTGCCGATCGGCATTTCGATCGTTCACGACCGCGAAGTGCTCTACGCCAACAAGGCGCTTCTGAAGATGCTTGGTTACACTTCCATTGCGGCCCTGTCAGAAGCCGGAGGCCTGGAAGCCCTGTTCATCGATGACACCGATGAGCTGGGGGATGGAATCGGGATCGATGATGAAATCGACGAAGCCATGAAGATGCGTGTCGCAGATGGCGGTGTCCTTACCGTTGATGCGCATATGCACTCGGTGCCGTGGAACGGTACCCGCGGGTTGATGATTTCGATCAGCGAACGCCAACAGAAGCAGATACCCCCGACCGTTGCTCCTGCATCGCCGAATTTCTTTGCAGGTGTCCGGGCCGAGCTCGACAATGCCCACGACCAGATTGCCGAGCTGGATACCATTCTGGAGACCGCCACCGACGGCGTCCTTGTCCTTGACCGGCATGGAACGATCGTGAAAGTCAACGGATCCGCGGAAGCTCTTTTCAGCGCCAACCGTGCAGACATGATAGGTGCTCCCTTTATCGAGTTTCTGGCGCCGGAAAGCCATCGGGCCGCGAGCGACTACCTTGACGGCCTGTCCCGCAATGGGGTCGCCAGCATATTGAATGACGGACGAGAAGTGCTCGGTCAGGTGCCCACGGGTGGGTTGATCCCGCTTTTCATGACCATGGGGCGGATCACCAGCAGCAAGGAAGAAGCCAAATTCTGTGCGGTGTTGCGCGACATCACCCAGTGGAAGACCGCAGAGGAAGAGCTGACGCAGGCCAAGCGGCAAGCCGAAAATGCCAGCTCTCAGAAGTCCGACTTCCTGGCCAAGATCAGCCATGAGATCAGAACGCCGCTTAATGCGATCATCGGATTTTCGGAAGTGATGATGGAGGAACGGTTCGGAGCGATCGGCAACGACCGTTACAAGGACTATCTGAAGGACATCCGGACGTCCGGTTCGCACATCATGAGCCTGATCAATGACCTCCTTGATCTTTCGAAAATCGAAGCCGGAAAGCTCGATCTCAAATTCTCGGCCGTCTCGACAAATGAAGTCATCAACGAATGTGTCGCCCTGATGCAGCCCCAGGCCAACCGGGAGAGGGTGATCATCCGGGCAAGCCTGCCGGAATCCGTTCCCGATATTGTCGCCGATCCGCGCTCGCTGCGCCAGATTGTGCTGAACCTGTTGTCCAACGGCATCAAGTACAACAAGTCCGGAGGCCAGGTGATCCTGTCGACCGCGCTTGAAAGCAACGGCGAAGTTGCGCTCAGGGTACGCGATACAGGTACCGGAATGACCGCGAAACAGCTGGCTGCTGCCCTGGAACCGTTCCGGCAACTGCACACTGCAAGCCGGGGTGGGGGAACGGGACTGGGTCTGCCACTGACCAAGGCGCTGGTCGAAGCGAACCGGGCGAGCTTTCACATCGATTCCACACCGGATCAGGGAACGCTTGTTGAAATTGTCTTTCCAACACAGCGGGTCCTGTCGGAGTAGATCCGGCCGGAACTCGATCCTTCAAGGCGATCTCGCGCCTGCCAGATGGCGGCCGCGTGGGTACTGGACGCCTCATGCAGCGTGGGCCGAGCATCTGTTCACGGTTTCGTGATCGCCCCGGATTCCTCGACCTCGAGTGCTTTTCGACTAAAAAGTAGAGGAATAAACTCCTGTTTTATCACTGATTTTTGCTTAAATTGTGGAATGTAAAATTCCAGTTAGTTTTGAATAATTCTAAACTATTGATTTTATTAAGTTTATTGACTTACGCGCGCCTCGGAGACATATTCCTGAGCAATCGCTTCCGCTTTTGGCGACAACAACAAATCAATCGGATCTCTGGGAGAGTTCTATGCGTTCGACCTTCCGCACCCTGACAGGTGCCCTTGCCCTGACCACCGCAGCCTTTGCTGCAGCACCGGCTCTTGCCGACGGGGAAGTGAATATCTATTCCTACCGCCAGCCGTTTCTGATCCAGCCGTTACTGGATGCCTTTACCGCTGACACAGGTATCAAGACCAACGTTGTTTTTGCCTCCAAGGGCCTTGGCGAGCGCATTGCCGCGGAGGGCGACAATTCCCCTGCCGACGTGCTTCTGACCGTCGATATCGGCCGTCTGGACGGCGCCAAGCAGCTCGGTATCACGCAGCCGGTTGTCTCCGACGTCGTCGACGGCAATATTCCCGCGCAGTTCCGTGATCCGGAAGGCCACTGGATCGGACTGACAAATCGTGCACGCGTTGTTTATGCGTCGAAGGATCGTGTCGACCAGGACACCATTACCTATGAAGATCTCGCCGATCCGAAATGGAAAGGCCGCCTCTGCACAAGATCCGGACAGCACGTCTATACCATCGGCCTGATCGCATCGATGGTCGCCCATCACGGTGCCGAAAAAACCGAAGAGTGGCTGGCAGGTGTGCGCGAAAACCTGGCCCGCAAGCCGGCCGGCAACGACCGTGCACAGGTGAAGGCAATCTTTGCCGGCGAATGTGATATCGCCATCGGCAACACCTACTACATGGGCAAGATGGAAACGAACGACAAAGAGCCGGAACAGAAAGAGTGGGCCAACTCGGTGCGCATCCTGTTCCCGAATGCCGACGCGCGTGGCACACACGTAAATCTGGCAGGCATTGTTCTGGCGAAAAATGCACCAAACAAGGACAACGCCGTAAAATTGATCGAATTCCTGTCTTCCAGCAACGCGCAGCAAATTTATGCGGAAACCAATTTCGAATATCCGGTGACACCGGGTGTGGAAGTTTCCGAGCGAGTTCAAAGCTGGGGTGAGCTGACGCCGGACGACCTTTCGCTTGCCGATATTGCCAAGAACCGCAAGACGGCCAGTGAACTGGTCGACAAGGTTGGATTCGACAACGGCCCGGCCTCCTGACCAACCCTGACGACAGAAATCAAAAAGCGCCGTGCTTCACGGCGCTTTTTTGCATTTTGGAAGGTTTACCTTTAGAGCTTCCTGCGAACCATTACGAACAATAAAGAACTGCTTTGCTGCGCACGCCCACACACTCCATCACCGACCGTTTCTGGCTAGTCGCAGCCCTTGTCATCGCAGCAATGGTTCTGCTGCCACTCGGTGCCATTGTCTGGATCGCCATCACGCCAACTGGTGACATCTGGGGCCATTTGCTGACAACCGTTCTGCCCGGATCGTTAAAGACAACGCTGCTGCTGATGCTGGGCGTCGGACTGACGACTTGTGTAACCGGCGTGCTGACCGCCTGGCTTGTTACCATGTGCAACTTTCCCGGACGCAGGATTGCCGACTGGGCGCTTCTGGTACCGCTTGCCGTTCCGACCTATATCGTCGCATTCGCCTATGTCGAGGTGCTGGACTACACAGGTCCCGTTCAGAGCCTGATCCGGGACATTTTCGGCTTCAAGACATCACGGGATTACTGGTTTCCCGAAATCCGGTCGCTGGGTGGCGCCATTTTCGTGATGGGTGCGGTTCTCTATCCGTACGTCTATCTCACGACCCGAGCCAGCTTTCTTATTCAATCGTCGTCGACGCTGGATGTTTCGCGAACGCTGGGCGCATCGCCCTACGGCCTTTTCTTTCGGGTCGCCCTGCCCCTTGCACGGCCTGCGATTGCGATAGGCGTGTCCCTGGCCCTGATGGAGTGTCTCAATGATATTGGCGCCGTTACATTCTTCGGCGTGAAGACGCTGACCTTTTCCGTTTATGATACCTGGCTGAACCGCTCCAGCCTTGGAGGAGCCGCACAGCTTGCGCTGGCCATGCTGGCAATGGTGTTCCTTCTGTTGTGGCTAGAACGTTTCGGCCGCCGGAAGCAGCGCTTTGACGCCGGGGGTGGATCAAAGCACAGGCCGCCAACCCGCTTCGACCTGAGCGGCTGGCAATCCGTTCTCGCACTTGGTCTTTGTCTCACACCGATCCTTGTCGGGTTCGTTGTTCCGGGTCTTTTGCTAGCGGATCGAGCGAGCCGTCGACTGAACGACGTTTTTGCATCCGGGTTCCTCCAGGCGATCTGGAACAGTTTCTATCTTGCTTCCATCGCGGCCCTGCTAACCGTTGTCATTTCAATCGCGCTTGCCTACGCATTTCGGATCAACAGCAGAGGACCACTCAAGATTGCCGTGCGCCTCGCCTCCATCGGCTATGCCATTCCCGGTACGGTTCTCGCGATCGGGATTCTCATTCCACTGGCCGGATTCGACAATTTCCTTGATGCGCGGATGGAGAGCTGGTTTGGCCTCAACACGGGTCTGCTCCTGCTCGGTAGCGGTACCGGCCTGGTCTATGCCTACGTCGTGAGGTTCCTCGCCGTTTCCTATGGTCAGGTGGAGGGCGGCTTCGGGAGAATAACACCTCACCTCGACATGGCAGCGCGGACACTCGGGCGCAATACCGGTCAGACCCTTACGCAAGTTCACCTGCCCATCCTGAAACCGGTGTTGCTGTCTGCGGCCCTGCTAAGCTTTGTCGACTGCATGAAGGAACTGCCGGCGACCATCTTGCTGCGTCCGTTCAACTTCGAAACGCTGGCAACAACCGTGTTCGAGGCAGCATCGCGGGAAGCCTTCGAAGAAGCCGCCCTTCCCTCTCTCGCCATAGTTCTTGTGGGTCTTATCCCGGTAATCTTCCTTGCGCGCTCAAGCGCTTCTTCCTTCCGCACCAAGATGTCCACACGACAGATTGATGCTACCAGCTAACTCTTCCGGTTGATCCGTCGCCTTGACAGCCACCTTGCAAATCGTCCCAATGGCGGCTTGCTCAGACCTCGTACGGGACGTCTTTTCCATGGACAAAAAACATCAGATCAATCTCTGGTACGCCTTTATCGCCATGATGCTGGTGCTGATGTTCCAAAGTTGGTGGACGACTTACAAGACCGTTGAAGCGATCCCCTACAGCCAGTTTGAGCAATATCTCAAAGACAAGAAGATCGAAGAGATTTCGATCAAGGAAAACACGATAGAGGGCAAGTTCAAAGAGCCTCTCAAAGACGGCAAGCAATACTTTGTCACGACTCGCGTCGACATTCCGCTGGCCGAAGAGCTGACCAAATACGACGTCAAGTTTACCGGCATCGTCCAGAGCACCTTCATCCGGGATATCATGTCCTGGGTTCTTCCCGTCCTTCTGTTCTTTGGCCTCTGGATGTTCTTTATCCGCCGTATAGCGGAAAAGCAGGGGATCGGCGGCATGATGACCGTCGGCAAATCCAAGGCCAAGGTCTATGTCGAGACCGATGTCGACGTTACGTTTGAAAATGTCGCCGGTGTCGATGAAGCGAAACGGGAATTGAAGGAGGTCGTGGACTTCCTGAAAGACCCGAAGTCCTACGGACGCCTCGGTGCACATGTTCCAAAGGGCATCCTGCTCGTGGGACCTCCCGGGACCGGCAAGACACTGCTGGCCCGCGCGGTCGCCGGTGAAGCCGGTGTCCCGTTCTTTTCGATTTCGGGTTCGGAATTCGTCGAGATGTTTGTCGGGGTCGGTGCCGCGCGCGTGCGGGATCTCTTCGAGCAGGCCCGCAAGGCAGCGCCTGCGATCATCTTCATCGACGAGCTCGATGCGCTCGGCCGCGCCCGTTCCAGCGGAGTGATGGGCACCAACGATGAAAAGGAACAGACCCTCAATCAGCTTTTGACAGAACTTGACGGATTCGACACATCCAGCGGGATTATTCTGCTCGCCGCTACCAACCGGCCGGAAATCCTCGACCCCGCGCTCTTGCGGGCGGGACGCTTCGACCGGCAGGTACTGGTCGACCGGCCTGACAAACCGGGCCGAAAGGCAATCCTTGAAGTCCATATCAAAAAGATCAAACTCGACCCGGACACGGATCTTGATCAGATTGCCCAGCTCACCGCCGGGTTCTCGGGCGCGGACCTTGCCACGCTCGTCAACGAGGCAGCTCTGCTTGCAACGCGGCGCAATGCCGATGCCGTAACCTTGCAGGACTTCAACGAAGCGGTGGAACGCGTTGTTGCCGGGCTCGAAAAACGCAGCCGGATCCTGTCGGAAAAGGAACGAAAGACCGTTGCGTTTCACGAAATGGGCCATGCGCTTGTTGCCGCCAATCTTGAAGGTTGCGACCCGGTTCACAAGATCTCGATCATTCCGCGCGGGATCGGCGCGCTTGGCTACACCATGCAGCGCCCGACCGAAGACCGGTTCCTGCTTTCAACACAGGATCTTGAGAATCGCATGGCCGTGCTGATGGGTGGCCGGGCGGCGGAGGAAATCGTCTTCGAAGAGATATCGACAGGGGCTTCCGACGACCTGCAAAAAGTTACCGAGGTCGCGCGGGACATGGTGATGCGCTACGGAATGGAACAGACGCTCGGAAATCGCGCCTACGCTACCCAACGGCAGAATTTCCTGGGTCAGCCAGCCGGAGACGCTGCCGAAGTTTCACCCGATACCCAGCGCGAGATAGACATAGCCATCAAGGATCATGTCGAGGGGGCGTTCACCCGTGCCAAGGCTCTTCTGCAGCAGCACCGGAGCGAACTCGACGAGGGTGCAAAATTGCTGCTTGCCAAAGAGACCCTGACGGATTCCGATTTTCCAGCAATCCGGCCGATAGCAGAGCGGCGGGATAACAAGGCCGCGGAATAGGGGCCGGTTGGAAGACCTGTCCGGAACCACAATGGCCTGTCCCGGTCGACAGGGATTGCAAGCAATGCGGCGTCTTCACGGCCGTGTCCTGGTGCAACTTGAAAAAAGACGCCCCCAAGAATCCTGAGGGCGCCTTCCGACACTAGAAACATGATGTCTTTGACGTTCGATCGGACAAGCTCAGACGATTGTTGCCTGGGTCTTTTCCCTTACCTCGTCAAGCGACACATCCGAAGCAAGTTCGACAACCTTCAGGCCGCCTTCCGCAACATCGAAAACACCGAAATTGGTGATAATGCGATCAACGCACTTCACGCCGGTGAGCGGGAGCGTGCACTCCCGCAGAAGCTTCGGATCGCCAGCCTTTGACGTGTGATCCATGATCACGACGACGCGTTTCACACCCGCCACCAGATCCATGGCACCGCCCATGCCCTTGACCATCTTTCCCGGGATCATCCAGTTGGCGAGATCACCTGTCTCGGCCACTTCCATTGCGCCCAGGATCGACAGGTCGATGTGACCGCCGCGGATCATGCCGAAGCTGTCGGCGGACGAGAAATAGCTGGTCTGCGGCAATTCGGTGATTGTCTGCTTGCCTGCATTGATCAGGTCCGCGTCAACTTCATCATCCGTCGGAAAAGGACCCATGCCGAGCATTCCGTTTTCCGACTGAAGCGTGACGTGAACTCCTTCGGGAATGTAATTTGAAACCAGCGTCGGAATGCCGATGCCAAGGTTCACATAAAAACCGTCTTCCAGCTCCTGCGCAGCGCGCTTTGCCATGTCATCACGTGTCCAGGCCATGATGTATCCTCCTCAGGCTGCGCGCGTCGTGCGCTTTTCAATGCGTTTTTCATGGTCGCCGATGATGATGCGGTCGACGAAAATACCGGCTGTATGGATGTTGTCCGCGTCGAGTTCACCGATCTCGACCACTTCTTCCACTTCCACGATACAAACCTTGCCGGCCGTCGCCATCATCGGATTGAAATTGCGGGCCGTCTTGCGGTAGATCAGGTTGCCTTCCTTGTCGGCTTTCCAGGCCTTGACCAGGGAAACGTCGGCCACGAGCCCGGTTTCCATGATGTAGGTCTCGCCGTTGAAGTCCTTGTGCTCCTTGCCTTCGGCAATCAGCGTTCCGACACCGGTCTTGGTGTAGAAGCCCGGTATGCCGGCGCCGCCTGCACGAATACGTTCCGCAAGCGTTCCCTGAGGGTTGAATTCAAGCTCCAGCTCGCCGTTCAGATATTGCTTTTCGAAGGTCGCGTTTTCACCCACATAGGACGAAACCATCTTCTTGATCTGGCGCGTCTGCAAAAGAAGCCCAAGGCCAAAGTCATCAACGCCCGCATTGTTGGAAATTGCGGTGATGTCCCTGGCTCCGGAATCCCGGAGCGCAACGATCAGATTTTCCGGAATGCCGCAAAGACCGAACCCACCGGCCATCACCGTCATGCCGTCAAAGGTCAGCCCGTCCAGGGCGGCCTTTGCGTCCGGATATATTTTGTTCATGTTTCACTCCCAGTTAAGACCGCAAGGTGCGTTTTGCGCACATTCGCCGCTCGGTTCTTCCCGGTCAAGACTTCTTTGCCGCATTGCAGCGAAAAACCGGCAACACTGCCGTGAGCCGGTTCAGGGAGCGCTTTTAGGGGCTGCAGACAATGCAACTCGCCGCATTGACATCTGCTATCCGGCACCGGCCAACCAGCGTTTCTTGTCCCGGTGAAGTTTGAAGCAGAAGACAAGGACGCACTGACAGAAGTTCCTAGAAAGAGGCCTTCAACTCCTGCCAGCGTGTCACGCGAAATGTCAGCCCGGTCTCCGGCGCCCTCTTGATCAGAGAAGCGCCACGTTCTGCAGATACCGGTTCTTAAGTTTCGAGAAGTTCCTGTCCTCGGGAAAACAAACTGCCGATTCGTCGCCGAACAAGTACCCGGACAGGTACTTCATGACACCGGCCCGATTGTTTCTTTCCATGCCCAGTTCACGGAGCAGTTTAACGTACTCCGCAAATTTCGGCTGCGGCGCCCTTTTGCTTTTGACGAATCCGAGCGTCATGCTTTTGAACTCCGGCTTGTATCCGAACAAAGACAGGCCGATCAATTCACGGGCGAGCACTCTGGGTACGCGTCCTTTGTTGTCCCAAAGCATGCCGAGATTTTCATAAAAGAACTGTTGCCAAACCTTTTTGTAGAACTCGGCACCTCTCATGTTGAAAAAGATTGTCGACTGCAAAGCATGGTCTCTGCTCAGTTTGTCGCGCGCGCACTGGGTTGCCGAGCCCTTCTTAAGCCTCGGGTTGTGGCGAATGTGTCGATTCAACAAGTCAAGTGCGCAATTCATGCGCTGCAGTTTTTCCAGCTCTCCGCGAACCGCGGGATCCGCCTTCCATTGGACAAACTCTTCACAGTCTCTCCACAAGTGGTGATATCCGTTTTCAAGAGCGATCTGAAACTGTTGACCCGCCGTCGCAGCGCCTACGATCAGGGCGTCGTTCAACAAGGGCGTCCAGTTCTTTTCACTCAGAATACTACCGACCTCGACGACAGGGACAGATGGCACCGGTCTTTTGGTTCCCTCGGTTCTCAGCTGTTGTTCCGCGGTGACGTGAACTTCTGTGGCTTGATCTTGAATACCGTTGGCGCCCGTTACGCCAAAATTGGCAATGAGTTCCTTGTTCAGTCGTATTCCCGTTCCGCCAAGCAGGACGAGCTTCAACGCATTCCTGGACGTGGCTTCGTAAAGATTATACGCCGCAGCCACAAAGTCCTCCATGACCTTGTCTTCATTCCAGGATGGGTCCCACTTCCCCACCCACTTGTTGTCTTTGCGATAATGATTCCATAGCGAGCGGATTTCCATTTCAAAAGCAATGCGGTTCATGTCAGGTCTTCCTCTGGATTGTGATCAACATCGACCGCAAGGCATCTGTTCGTGCCTTTTTCTGCGGCGGCTGCGTTGTATTTCGGAAGGAAGACCGGGGCTTCGAAGTGCCGGGCGTCACAAGCGCAGTACCGATCGGTATTTTTTGGAAAGCGGCGGGGCCCGCAAACAGTTTTCCGAACCGGCGAGGCAGGCCCTTTTGTCGAGACCTGACTGGAAAATGTAAGGACCGTCATGCATCCGGGTCGATCCGGCAAAGATCGGCGTGATCCACGTTTTCACGCGTTTTTGGAAGTTGTTTATGGTTTGTAAAGTCTTAAAGCGAAGAATTGAGGTGTGTCAGTCAAGGGATCGAAGCAAACCCGAATGGCTGTGTTCAGACAACTGCTTGAAAGAAACCACGCGCCGTGTACCCGTTCTGGTCAACATTTTTCAGGATCGCAGCGTTTTCCCTGCTCGTTGGCGCCGGGTTGTCCTTCGTCGACATTTCTGCGGAAGACATACTGGGAACTGTCGGCCTCAGTCCGCTGCAGCTTTGGATCTACATGCTCGAATTCCGCGATTGGGCAATCCCGAACATGATCCTGGGCGCCTTTATCGTGGTTCCGGTCTGGCTGTTCATTTACCTGATCCGACCACCGCGGGCCGGCTGACCCAATCCTCAACCATCGGCACCGAATGCCGTCCGCTCGTCGCGTTCCCGCTGCACCTGTTGTCGTTTGGTCACCAGTGAGGCCGCAATGACACCGATCGTCACCAGGCCGACCAGGATCGTACAGACCGCGTTGATTTCCGGTGTCACGCCCAACCGCACCTGCGAGTAGATTTTCATCGGCAGGGTCGTCGCACCCGGACCTGTGGTGAAGCTGGCGATCACCAGATCATCCAGCGACAGGGTGAAGGCCAGCATCCAGCCGGCAATGACGCCAGGCAAAATGATCGGAAGCGTGATCAGGAAGAAGGTCTTCACGGGAGGGCAGCCAAGATCTTCGGCTGCTTCCTCGACGGACTTGTCAAATCCGACCAGACGGGACTGAACGACAACCGCCACATAACACATGGCGAAAGTCGTGTGTGCCAGCATCACGGTCCAGAAGCCGCGGGCCGTGCCCATTGCAACGAACAGCAGCAACAAAGACAGGCCGAGGATTACTTCCGGCATGACGAGCGGCGCAAAGATCATTCCGGAAAACAGCGAGCGACCCATGAACCGGCCGGAGCGCACCAATATCAGTGCTGCCAGCGTTCCGAGCACGGTCGCGATGGTTGCCGACGCAAAGGCAACGCGCAACGTCACCCAGGCCGCATCGAGCAACTGTTCGTTTTGAAGCAGGGATGCGTACCACTTGGTCGAAAAGCCACCCCAGACAGTAACCAGCCTGCTTTCGTTGAAGGAGTAGATCACCAGGAGAACAATAGGCAGGTAGAGGAACGAGAAGCCCAGAGCCAGCGAGGTGATGTTGAACCAGGTCGGACCGCGGGTCATCCTTCTTTCTCCGACATTTTTTGTTGCTGGTTCTGGAAGAGCACGATCGGGATCACGAGTATCATGAGCAGGATCACCGCGACGGCCGAGGAAACAGGCCAATCCCGGTTGTTGAAGAACTCCACCCAGAGGGTCTTGCCGATCATCAGTGTGTTGGAACCACCGAGGAGATCGGGAATAACGAATTCCCCGACCGCGGGAATGAAAACCAGAAAACACCCGGCGATCACACCGGGAAGCGACAAGGGCACGGTAATCTTCCAGAACGCTTTCCAGGGCGGACAGCCGAGGTCTTCCGCTGCTTCCAGCAGGCTCCCGTCAAGCCTCTCAAGGCTGGCATAAAGTGGCAGGACCAGGAATGGCAGATAAGAATAGACGATGCCGATATAGACCGCGATATTGGTATTGAGGATCACCAACGGCTCGTCGATGAGGCCCAGCATCATCAAAAACTGGTTCAGCAGTCCCTCGTTTTTCAATATGCCGATCCAGGCGTAGACCCGGATCAGAAAACTCGTCCAGAAAGGCAGAATAACCAGCATCAGCAATGTTGGACGCCACGCCTGAGGACTGCGCGCCATGCCATAGGCGATCGGGTAGCCGATCAGCAGAGTAAACAGCGTCGATATCGCCGCAATGACAACCGATGACACATAGGATTTCCAGTAGAGCGCGTCTTCCGTCAGCCAGATGTAATTCTCGAACGAAAACTCGCGGAAGGCTTCCACGAGACCCTGCCAGCCTTCCGCCAGATCGATTGCCGGCGAGTAAGGTGGTATTGAAACCGCGATCTGTGAAAGTGAAATCTTGAAAACGATCAGAAACGGCGCCAGAAAAAACACCAGCAGCCATAGATAGGGCATCGCAATCAGCAACTTGCCCCCGATAGTTCTTTTCGCAGGAGTGGCTGTCTGTTCGCTCATCCCGCCTACCCTTTCAAGATGACGCCGGCATCCCGGTCAAAGGAAAGCACGACCTCGTCGTCCCACGTGATCGGGTTTTCGACCATGCGGGAGATGTTGGCAAAAGTGGCACGGATGGTGTCATGATCATCTTCGCCGACCTTGGAGTGAATGCAGGAGACGTCGCCAAGATAGGCAATGTCCCAGACCAGACCGTCAATCTGGTTGACCTGCCCCTCCTCCCGGCGGCCCTGGGCAATTCGGACCTTTTCGGGGCGTATAGCATACCAGACAGTTTCACCGAGACCGGCTTCCGTCTCCTGTTCGCTATCGATGACAAATCCGTCGACAATGGATACCAGGCGCGTTCCGGCATCCGATTTTTCGGTCACCTTGGCCTCAATCAGATTTATGTCGCCTATGAAGTCGGCCACGAATTTCGAATTCGGTGCTTCATAGATCTCCGCAGGGGTCGCTACCTGGACCAGTTCGCCCTTGTCCATCACGGCAATGCGATCTGCAACCGTCATTGCCTCCTCCTGATCGTGGGTCACGATCAGAAAGGTCATTTCGAGTTCTTCCTGCAGGTTCATCAGTTCGAACTGGGTTTCCTCGCGCAACTTGCGGTCCAGGGCACCCAGCGGTTCGTCGAGCAACAGAACCTTGGGACGTTTTGCGAGCGAGCGCGCGAGCGCAACCCGCTGGCGCTGGCCGCCGGAAAGCTGATGAGGCTTGCGCTGTGCAAATTGCTCAAGCTTCGTAAGGCGCAACATTTCCGATACGCGCGCTTCGATATCCTGCGCCGGCATGCTGTCCTGTTTCAGCCCGAAGGCAATGTTCTTCTCCACGTTCATATGCGGGAACAGGGCGTAGGATTGGAACATCATGTTGGAAGGACGCCGGTAAGGAGGGATACCCGCGAGATCCTGGCCGTCCAGGAATATCTGTCCGGATGTCGGTGTCTCAAACCCTGCGAGCATGCGCATCAGGGTCGTCTTGCCGCAACCCGAGCCACCGAGAAGCGCAAAAAACTCTTTCTCGTAGATCTTGAGGGACAGGTTCCTGACCGCGACAAATTCACCGAATTTCTTGGTGACGTTGCGAAACTCGATAAAGGGAGGATGGTCGGAATTTTCCCAGGGAACAAATTCCCGACGCACCGGACCAATGGATTTTTTTGCCAAGACAGCCCCCACCCACAAACGACTGGATAAAATGGAACCGCCGGGTGCCAATGATTTGGCACCCGGCGGTGTTTACAAGCTTACTGACCGGTTTTTATCTTGGTCCATTCCCGCGTCCGCGTCCGCATTGTCTTCGGTGGCTTGGTTGTTGTTATGAACAGGTTGTTTACGGTTTCCTCATCCGGGTAGACAGCCGGGTCCCCGAGAACTTCCTTGTCAACGAACTCGTGGCTCGCCTTGTTTCCATTTGCGTAGAAGACATAGTTTGTCGCCTTGGCGATCACGTCCGGTCTCATGATGTAGTTGATAAATTCATGAGCTTCTTCGACATGCGGTGCATCGACCGGAATGGCCATGTTGTCGAACCACATCATGGCCCCTTCCTTCGGAATGACGTATTCGACGGTCACACCGTTGTCGGCTTCCGCAGCGCGGTCACGTGCTATCAACACATCTCCAGACCATCCAACTGCCAGGCAAATGTCTCCATTTGCCAGCGCGTTGATGTATTCGGAAGAATGGAACTTTCGGACATAGGGGCGCACCGACATCAGCAGTTCCGTCGCTTTTTTGAAGTCGGCCGGATCATTGCTGTCGGGATCAAGACCAAGGTAATTCAATGCGGGTGGAAACATTTCATCCGGGGTATCGAGCATATAGATACCGCAATCGGCGAACTTTGACGCGATTTCTGGATCGAAGACCATATCCCAGCTGTCCAGAGGCGCATCAGGCATGATCTCCTTGATCTTGTCGACATTGTACCCGAAGCCGGTGGTCCCCCACATGTAGTTTATGGCGTGTTCATTTCCAGGGTCGAATTTCACGACGCGCGCCATGATCTCGGGCCAGAGGTTTTCAAGGTTAGACAGTTTGTCCTTGTCCAGCTTCTGAAATGCGCCGGCCTGTATCTGTCTTCCCAGGAAGGTACCAGTCGGAACGACAACGTCGTAACCGGTGCCACCGGCAAGGAGCTTCGTCTCCAGAACCTCGTTGCTGTCAAAGACGTCGTAAACGACCTTGATGCCGGTTTCCTTGGTAAAGTCCTCCAGGATAGACTCATCGATGTAGTCGGACCAATTGTACACGTTCACGGTCCGGTCCTGAGCATAGGCAACACTACTCAGCAGACTGAGAGCTGCGACCCCGGTCAACAATGTCTTAACAGTCATTCTGAACTCCCCTTCAGAAGTTTGATGGTGGCCGTTTTCGGCCTTGTTCCTGATTTTAATCGGACAATCCCTGTCGGTCTTGTCCTCTGGTCTTCCAAACATTGGCGAGGCGCCAGATGTTTGTCCAGCGCCGATTTTGGGCAGTGAGTGCGTCAAAGATAGGTCTGACGCTCCAGGGAGGAAATCTCCCGCCCGAATTCGTTCAATTCCTCCCGTTTGATCTCGGTCAGCACCTTGTGCATTTCCGGACCGACTGCCCTTTTCATCAGCTTTGATGCCTCAAAAGCGTCGATAGCTTCGTCCATCCAGGGCGTCAGCCGTTTCTTTCGTTTCTCATAGGCATTTCCCGTGACCGGTGCCGGTGGTTCCTTCTTCTGCACGAGGCCTTCCAGCATGCCGGCCAGGATCCCGGTCAGCACCAGATACGGGTTCGCATCCGCGCCCGCGATCCGGTGTTCTACACGCGCGGCCTCCGGGCTCGAGGCAGGAACGCGCAGCGCGACGGACCGGTTGTCATACCCCCAGCAGATCGAGGCCGGGGCATAGGAGCCCGGCTGCATGCGGCGGAACCCGTTGAAGGTGGAGATGAACAGAAGCAATGCTTCGGGCATGGTCTTCATCAGGCCGTTGATGGCATAACCAAGACGCTCCGGCCCCTTGTCCGGATCCGCGAAAAGGTTGCCTTTTTCATCTTCCATGGAAACATGCACATGCATGCCATTTCCCGGCCATTCCACGAATGGCTTGGCCATGAAAGATGCCTTGAGTTCGTGCTTGCGTGCAACACCCGCAACCAGACGCTTGAGCAACACCACGTCGTCGGCGGCCAAAAGCGGGTTTTGCCGGTGATGCAGATTGAGCTCGAACTGACCGGGCGCGGCTTCCGAAACCGCTGCGTCCGCCGGGATCCCCTGAGCCTCGCAGGCCTTGCGAAGATCGTCGACGACCGGCAGAAGCGCTTCCAGATCCGACAGGGCGTACATGTTTTGCCGTGCCGGGCCTAGATGCGTCGAGAACAGCGGCCTGGGCTGCTCGGTCCAATCTCCTTCGCTTTCCTCAAACAGGTAGAATTCGAGTTCGAAAGCACAGGTCGCGGTCACGCCGAATTCAGACTTCAGCCGTTCGACCATGTTTTCCAGAACGTGGCGCGGATCGGCCGGAAACGGTTGTCCGTCGCGATCGTACATCGACAGGAGGACCTGCGCCGTCTTGCGCTCCGTCCATGGCACCAGTTTCAGGGATTCCGGGATCGGCCAGCAAACGCCGTCCTTGTCGCCGGTCTCCAGGTGCATCCCGGTCGATTCCACTTCCCGCCCCCAGACATCGAGACCGAACAGCGAATAGGGAAAGGCAACGCCCTGTTCGAAAACCTTCTTCAGTGCCTTGCCCGGCAACCACTTGCCGCGGAGCACACCGTTGGTATCGGGCAGAACCACTTCAAGAGTGTCGAGATCGGGATGCGTTTCCAAAAAGGCATCAAAATCCACCTTCCATCCGGGTTCAGCCGGATGTTCCAGAATCTGGTGGGGAAGTTCGTTCATTAAACCCCTGCTTTCAGACCGAGTTGCCTGGACAGATACGACCTGCGGGCTCTCAGCTTTCGTTTGCTTCATTTCCAAAAATGTGATCACTTTCGTAATTGTCTGTCAAGGCAGATCACGCAAATTGAGTAAATGTAATGATTGGGAGACCGCGTTGAGCGACCGGCATTCCGCCCTGACATCGCCTCCTGCGAATGACCGCAAAGGTGCCACATCGTCCCGGGGTGCAACACGCGAGCAAGTTGATGCAGCCATCCGTTCCGGGCTCTTGACTGGACGTTTCATACCTGGAAAAGCCGTGACGATACGCGGGCTTGCCACCGACCTTGGCGTCAGCCCGATGCCTGTCCGGGAAGTCCTGCAGCGGCTTGCTGCCGAAAATGCTCTTGAGGTCAAGAGCAACGGGCGTGTCCAGGTTCCTGACATGACACCTGATCGCTTTGACGAAGTGCTGAAGGCCAGGCTGTTGCTGGAGCCGGAACTGGCCGAACGCTCGCTCGAAAAGCTGTCAAAACGCGATGTGAAGATGCTGACCGCGATTGATGACGAAATCGACCAGTGCATCATCAGCGGCGATGCCGAGGCGTATATGCGCCTCAATCACGCGTTCCATTTCCATGTCTACCGGGCGTCCGGTTCAAAGGTTCTTCTGCCTCTAATCGACAGTCTCTGGCTTCAGTTCGCGCCATTCATGCGCACTGTCTATGGCAGGGTCGGAACCGCGATTCTCGTCGACCAGCACAAGGAAGCGATCCGCGCGATCGAGCAGCGTGACCGGGATGCGCTCCGGGACGCCATCATGGGCGACATCACCGATGGCATGGGACTTATCGGCAAGGAAATTCTTGAAACGACATGAGACGGTTGATCCGGATCAAAGACCGTGTCATTTTGTGATCACAAAATTCACCAATGCCCCTTGATCGCAATCTCGTGCTGATTGCAGACAAACGGCTAAAGAGAAACCAACACACTATCCGGCACCTGTTCGTGCCCAACCCCTGGAGCCCGTCGTGAGTGATGAAACGCCTGCCAAAAACAGTCTGAGTGCAACGGACAGTTTGCGTGGGGTTCCGGATGGCGACGCCGCGCTGGAATGGCTGCATTCACGCAACATCGAAGACATCGAGTGCATCGTTCCGGACCTTGCAGGTGTCGCGCGAGGCAAGATGATGCCGGTCGAGAAGTTCTTCTCCGGCCCGGTCATGACCATGCCGGCCTCGATTTTCGCGCAAACGATTTCCGGTGATTATCCTGACGATGACGAGCGCTTCCAGCACAACCCAACCGATGGCGACCTCTATTTTCGTGCAGACTACAGCACGCTAACCTCGGTGCCCTGGGAAAGCGATCCGACCGCGCAACTCATTCACGATGCCTATACGCGCCAGGGAGCCCCGGTGGAAACGGCACCGCGCAACGTGCTGAAGCGCATTTTGAAACTCTACGAGGACAAGGGCTGGGAGCCCGTTGTTGCACCGGAAATTGAATTTTACCTGGTGAAGCCGAACACCGACCCAGACTATCCGCTGGAGCCACCGACCGGCCGCTCCGGCCGTCCCGAGGTTGGTCGTCAATCCTATTCGATTTCAGCACTGAATGAATTCGACGACCTTATCGACGATATCTATGACCTTTCCGAACACCAGGGACTTGAGATCGACACACTGATCCACGAGGAAGGCGCTGCGCAGATGGAAATCAATCTGCGCCACGGCAATCCGCTTGCCCTTGCCGACCAGGTGTTCCTGTTCAAGCGTACGATCCGCGAAGCCGCGCTTCGGCACGACATGTACGCGACCTTCATGTCCAAGCCGATGTCGCATCAACCCGGTTCGGCAATGCATATCCACCAGTCGGTGATCGATAAGGAAACCGGCCGGAACATATTTGCCGGAGAAAATGGCGAGGAAACACCCGCGTTCCTCTCCTTCATTGCAGGACACCAGACATATCTGCCGAAAGTCACCTGCATCATGGCGCCTTTCGTCAATTCCTACCGGCGCTTTTCGAAGACGTCGACGTCACCGGTCAACGTCTACTGGGGTTATGACAACAGAACGGTCGGATTGCGCGTGCCCTATTCCAGCCCGGAGGCGCGGAGACTTGAGAACCGGATTCCCGGATCCGACGCCAATCCCTATCTTTCGATCGCGGCAAGCCTCGCCTGCGGTTACCTGGGTATCGTGAACGAGTTGACGCCCGATGCACCCAGGAGTGACGATTGCACCGAACTTGCCAAATCGCTGCCGCGTGGTTTGCCGGAAGCTGTCGCAAAATTCGAGAATTCCGACGAGATGGTTGAAATCTTCGGCGAGACATTCGTCGCCACCTATCGTGCGATCAAATACGAGGAATTCGAAACCTTCATGTCGGTGATCAGCGCATGGGAACGGGAATATCTCCTGCTCAACGTCTGATCAGCATCACTGTTCCTTTGGAGTTCACGCCATGACGGCCCATTCCAACATCTATCCGACCAAGGCCCTTCAGGAAATCGACGCGGCCCATCACTGGCATCCCTTCTCGGACATGAAATCGCTGAATGAGGAAGGCAGCCGCATCGTGACGTCGGCCGACGGCGTCTGGATCTCGGATTCAGACGGCAAGAAAATCCTCGACGGCATGGCCGGGCTCTGGTGCGTTCAGGTCGGACACGGGCGCAAGGAGATTGCCGATGCCGTCAATCGCCAGATGAACGAACTCGCCTACTACAACACCTTCTTCAAGACAACACATCCACCTGCAATCGCGTTGTCTGAAAAGCTGGCCAAACTGGCGCCGGACCACATCAACACCGTCTTTTATTGTTCCTCGGGTTCGGAGGCCAACGACACGGTGTTCCGCATGGTGCGCACCTATTGGGACAAGATGGGCAAGCCCGACAAGAAGGTGATAATCGGTCGCTGGAACGGCTATCACGGATCAACTCTTGCAGGCACCAGCCTGGGCGGCATGAAAGCCATGCATGCCCAGGGCGATCTGCCGGTGTCCGGTGTCCATCACATCGACCAGCCTTACTGGTTCGGTGAAGGCCAGGACATGAGCCCGGAAGAATTCGGGGTCCTTGCGGCGCGGAAGCTGGAAGAGGCAATCGACGAAATAGGCGAGGACAAGATCGCCGCCTTCATCGCCGAACCGATCCAGGGTGCAGGCGGTGTCATCATTCCACCGGCAACCTATTGGCCCGAGATGCGCCGGATCCTTGAGGAACGCGATATCCTGTTCGTCTCCGATGAAGTTATCTGCGGCTTCGGACGCCTCGGTGAGTGGTTCGGCTCGACACATTTCGGCGTGAAGCCGGATCTCATGCCGATCGCCAAGGGTTTGACTTCGGGGTACCTGCCGATGGGCGGCGTGCTTGTCTCAGACCGGGTCGCGGAAGGTCTGATGAATTCCGGAGACGATTTCAATCATGGCTATACCTATTCCGGCCATCCGGTCTGTGCGGCAGCAGCGCTTGCCAATCTGGAAATCATCGAGCGCGAAGGCCTGGTTGACCGCGTCAAGAACGACATTGGCCCCTATCTGCAAGAGCGCTGGCTGGGACTTGGCGATCATCCGCTGGTCGGCGAAGCCCGCATGACCGGCCTGATGGGCGCTTTGGAGCTTGTTCCGGACAAAACCGATCTCAAGAAAACCTTTCCTGACACCGGTACCGTTGGAACGATCTGCCGCGACATCTCATTCCAGAACAGCATGGTGATGCGCGCCGTCCGCGACAGCATGATCATCTCGCCGCCACTGGTCCTTAGCCACGAGGAGGCCGATTTCTTGGTCGAGAGTGCGGAAAAGACGCTGAACGACACCTATCAGACGCTCAAGAAGGATGGCTGGCTGGAATAGACTTCTGCAGTCCGTGGATGGATCATGTATTTGCAAAGTACAAAACCCGCTCGATCAACCAGAAACTGGACAGACTGCCGATCACATAGGCGAGCGTCAGGCCAACGGGTCTGCGGGCCAGAACCGGGCCTTTCCGGAGCAGCCTGGAAACGACAAACACAATCACAGTCGCCAAGACAATAAAGGCGAGCTGGCCTGCTTCCACGCCGACATTGAATGCGAAGAGAGCAAGCGGGATGTCCGATTGCGGCAGTCCGATTTCCTTCAAAGCACCGGCGAAGCCAAGCCCATGAAGCAGACCGAAGGCAAATGTCACCACCCAGGGAGCAGATTGCGAAAGCCGTTTTTCGTCGGGAGTGCTGAGTGCTATTTCACTCGCAAGGAAAACGATGGACAGGGCAATGACCGCTTCAACGGGTGCAGGCGGCAAGGCGATCCACCCGAGCGTTGACGCTGCGAGTGTCAGGCTATGCGCCACCGTAAAAGCTGTAACCGCGCCAACCAGCCGCCAGAAACCCCGGACAAGCACCAGAAGTGCAAACAGAAACAACAGATGATCCCATCCTTCAAGGATGTGCACAAATCCGAGGCCGGCATAGGTTCCCAGTACCTTGAACGGCCCAGGCTCTTTGGGCAGAACTGCGGACGTCGCATCCGCTGTCAGACGCAGGGAAACTGCCGTCTTCTCCAACGGCACGAAGCGTAACAGAACATCCGTTTGTGTGCTCTCCAGTCCCGGAATCGAAACGACGCTGCCAGGGAGTGCCTCCTCGCACACCGCGGTCCAGACCGCCTCCCATGCTCCCGCACGGGCAGACGGCAAAGGCCCTTTCCGAGGCGAGCAACCGCTCGGGAGCAACAGGTCTATCGGCATGGGTTTTCCAGAAACATCGGGCTTGCGCCAAAAAACCTGCCAAATGTTCTCGCCTTTCTGTTCCAGAGACACATAGCCCGGTTGCAAGGCGTGTCCGTGTGCCAGATTTGAAATGCAGGCCGATGCCAAAATCAGGAAAGCGCCTGAAATCAACCGCCGGGTCATTGTCCAGTCTCCGGCAGGACGATGCGATAGCGTTCGCGCATGGCTGCATACGCGTCGTCGCGCAGCTCTTCGGCCTTTCGCAGCGCCCAGTCCGCTTCGACCTCATTGCGTATCGATTCAAATGGCAGATATTCGGCTGATTGTCGTCGGGTAACGCGGATCAGGTGCTGCCCGTAGCCGGATTGGACCGGCCCCGACCACTCATTCAACGGCAATGCCTCGATCCGTTCGTAAAAGCCGTCGCCGAATACTCCGTCGATTTTCGACCTGGCAGACATATCCAACCGGAACGGAAGCAATGTCCGCGTTCCAAGCACTTCGGGGTCCGCACCCTGACGCAGCCTGTCTTGAACCTCTTCAGCGAGTTCCTCATCGGCGGGAGATCCAAGAAAAACCTGCTCGTAAGATATTCGGCCAGACCGCAGGTAAGCATTCCTGTTCGCGGCATAATAGGATTTCAGATCTTCTTCCGTCGGCTTCCGGGAGCGTGCCGCGGCGGTGGTCAGAAAATCCATCTTCTGTACCAGACGCCGCCGAAGCACAATGTCGTCGCGATCCAGTCCCAGTTTCAGTGCTTCGCGCACCAGAACTTCCTCGCGCACATACGAAGCGACAAGAGTTTGTTTTTCTTCTTCTGTAGGAAGACGCTGCCACACGGCCTCAAACTCAGTTACCAGCCTTTGCAGTTTCTGCTGCGTGACGACGATTTCGGCATTCTCGTCTACGGGCTCACTTTCCGGCGGCGGCGAAATGAAACCATAAGCCGCGAAAATGAGGCTGCCCAATAGAAGAAAATGAACAAGTGGCTGGCTGGCCAACCGACGAATCCCGGTCATCTTTGACGCTCTGCCCCACTTAAATCCCGTCTCTTTGATAGTCCTGACCTCTTGCCACGCGCCATTGGACGCCTTCGTGAGTTGACCGCTTCAACGTCCGCGCTTCTTCAGACTCTCCAAAACGATCAATCCAAGGTTCAAAACCCCAAACACAAGAATTGCACCGAAGACGAGAAGGCCAAGCTGTTTTGTACCGATCCCGACCGGAAGATTGAACGCCATCACGATCATGCCGAACAACGCCAGCAGCATGATCAGCGGGAAAATGGTGTCTTTCAGCTTCATGAGGGCCTCTTCTGATAGCCTGCCGCATTTGCGAATGGCCAGTTTCGCAATAAATTACTTACCCGGCACCAGACATGATCCAATGGCATGTGTCCGGGGTGCCGATGGCGTACAAAGCACAGCAACTACGTTCCCGGCGTGTACCAGATCGGGGACGTATAAGCTCGTTCCTGCTGGCTTGTCGGCGCGCCTTCGGGAATATCGACGCCATATCGGAATGCATCGTAGACGTACCAGGGCGGTGTAGGGATCTCCAGGACACGTGCGTAGTAGAAGGCGCGCTGGCCTGGATCGAAATCGGGATCGGTCCAGACAGTTGCCAATTCCGACGCGCCAATCGAGTTTGTCCAACTGGCATTTTGCACGTCAACCGTATTGCCGACTGCCGGAACCTTGCCGTCCGTTCCCGGCTCGCGGCTGTCGGACCATGCAACGTCATAGACCTTTTCCTGAGTGTTGCCGTCTGCATCCATCCATCCCTTGACGATCTGGATCCGATCCAGATTGGCACCAACCGCGTCCCGCAAGGCATAAACCATGAATGCCGGCGCTTCGGCTTCCTCCGGCTTCGGCATCAGGTCTCCACCCATCGGGACACCCTTGCGATAGCCGAGCAGAGCCGGATTGCGCGTCTCCATGTCCTGGTCAGTGAAATCCCAGCCACCGAACAGTCTCACCATCATGCGTGGCCCCGTGGTGGCGTAAACCTCCTTGCGCTGCATGGCATCGAAAAGAGACTCGCGCGTGTTTTCACGTGCCCAGACACCTGTGACACCCGAGGAAACCATCTGCCAGGCAAAGAGTTCTCCATTCTCGGTTTTCACGAATGGATGGGTCAGACGATCGGGGGAAGGTTCGTAGCCGGTGTGCTTGCCGAAGAAATTTTCCTCTTCAAACGTCGCCAGGCCGGTGTGGCTGTCGGTGGCTCCGGAAAAGCCGAACTTGTAGGGGTTTGTGCCGAATTTTTCTTCCAGCAAAAACCCGTTCTTCAGGGCCTCGCGAGCATATTCGCCAGCAAGCATGTCGTTTGTCTTGGCCACGGACAGGTCCAGATTGCCGGCGTCCCAGTTGTAGTAGTCGGCAAATTCGTCATTCGGAGACAGAAAGGGATGTGCTTCGCCGTCGCCCTTGATCTGGGTAATTTCGTAAAGCGGCTCCCATTTGGCACGCTGCTCGACATAGTCCTTGTCGATCGCCTTGCCGGTAAACTGTGTGTCGACCGGGAACATCACACCATTGGAGAGGTTTCCGTTGTGGGCAAGCGCCAGGACTGCACCGTTGGTCTTGTCCTCGTAGGCCTGCATCCACTTGTAGAGATCGAGCGGATCGGAACTTCCGAAAGGCGGGGTCATGGTGAAGGGAACCACCTGCCCGGCTCTTTCCGCCCCATCGCGGAAGATCACGTTGCGATGCAGATTGTTGCCTTTGTCCAGCGAAGTCCACTCGAAGCCGATCAGCGCCGTGAACCGGCCGGGCTCGTTGAAAGCGTCCGCAGTCTTGACATTGTCCGACCAGATCGACGCGAACCGGCGCGCGCCCGGCTGATACTGCGCAAAAAGGTCCGGATCGACGTTGCCCTGGCTGAATTGCGTGATCAGGTCAATCGTGGCAGCGACGGCCTCCTGCCCACCGGCCCGATATCCTTCCGACCATTTGCGACCCTGTTCGTATTTGGTCACGCCCGGCGAGGCTTCGAGAATGTCGGTAATCAGCCCCATACCGTCGGAGTGTTCGGTGATCACAAGCCAGTCAAGGGGTCGGTAGAGCCGGACAGGCTGGCCGGAAGACGCCGTGATCTCCTCGCCACGTGCGAAACGCCAGGCCTGTTCCTGCGTCAACCTTGCTCCGAACCCGCCTGCATCCATTGACTGGCCGGTGTGAAGATGCGTATCGCCCCACAAGGGATGTTCAGGAAAACTACGCCCAGCATAGGGCGAATATGCTTCCCCGGGATAAACATCGAGGAGCTGACCCTCGTTGACGTCGAACTCTTGTGCAGGAAGCGTCGTAGTGACGGAAAAATATGCCAAAACAGCAACAGCGGCAGTACGCATGAGACCCTCCCACAACAAATATCACAATAAGTAATGCACATTCCCCATCCCCGGAGAAGTTTGGGAAAATTACTCATGGACCGGTTTAGGCGCAGCTACGCAGTTTTTTCAGTGCCAGGTGCAAGTTCGATCCAGTTGGGGCAATTTTCTTCCCCGGCCTTGTCGGATAAGCTCGCGCCCGGACGTTCCTCGGTCATCAATCCCGAGGCCCCGGAGGAAAAGAAGATGCTGTTTTCAGTTCTGATTTATGCCAGTGAAGATTTCATGGATGCTGTCTCACCGGAGGAGCATGACGAGATCATGCGCCACCACCGCGCCTTTCACGAACACACCAAGGGCAGCAAGACGTTCGCGTCTGCCATCAAGCTGATGTCCACGGGAACCGCGGTGACGGTCAACAAGGAAAGCGACGACTACCTGGTGACAGACGGTCCGTTCGCGGAAACCAAGGAACAGTTCATGGGCTTCTATCTCATTGACTGTCCTTCGCTGGAAGAAGCCATAGATACCGTCAAACTTCTGCCGCTGGAGCACGGGCGCGTGGAAATCCGTCCGGTTGAGTATTTCGAAGGAGCCGATTTCAAGAATGCCGAGCGCCTGGTTATCGACGCATCTTAGGGCATCCCGTCCCCGTGTTCTGGCGGCCCTGAACCGCGCGTTCGGAGACATCGATGTCGCTGAAGATGCCTTTCAGGAAGCCTCACTCAAGGCGCTGAAAACATGGCAGCAGGATGATATTCCGAAAGATCCGACTGCCTGGCTGATCGTTGCCGGACGCAACGCGGG